GACAAGAAACACAGTCTTGCATAATATAGTACTTCTCCAAACCTCCATTTAAAGGTTTAGACGATCCGCTGTTTGCCTTAAGCTTGCAAAACCATATTCTGTATGTTCCCTGCAGCTGTTGAAGCAAGGCTCTGCATTCAGTGGGCTGTCAAGAAGGCCGTTCTGAATGTACATGCCCTGTGGCTGGTGAAGACAAAAGGTGCTATTCTGATAATACTAAGGAAGCCCTTGCAAATAGCAGGATTTACAGATCTGGATTTAATATCTGTGGGCAGAGGGACTCCTGTGTTGTGGTGAACCAGGGGATGTTGGTGACATTGATGGTTTTCAGCTCATTCTTGAAGAGTCTTGGGAAATTATAAGCATCACCATTTATCGTGTGCACCAAAGCAAAAATATCCGTTGCAACAAGCCAAGTTCTGTGATTATCTCTTTGTGCACTGCAGTGCAGCAGTTGATGACTTGCCCTCTGTGAGGGCATTTAAGGATATTCATTTACAAATAAACAGGGGGTATTTGGAGATCACAGAAGATAGAAAATACAGAGGTTCACACCTTTTTGAAACCATTGAGAGAAGTAGGGAGGATTTGTTTTCATAGAGACCTTCTTGTTGGACCCACCGCACTAAGATTTAGTGTTTTATTACTCCTTGAAGATTTTTAATCTAAATCTAACCTTAACTTTTTCTCAGTGTGATAATCCAAGAAATAGCTCAGCAGCCTATATATCTGTTAATGTGCCTCATCTAAAACTGGTTTCCCAGCAATCTTTTTTCCTGTAGCACTGGCACCAAAGCAATGCCTTCTGAGATTGCTGCTCAGTGATTCATTGCAGTGAAGGACTTTATTGAAATCATCCATTTTTTAGTTCAAAATATGGAATGAGGAGCCACTGAACAAAAAAGTTGAATTCTAGAACATCCTTTTGACATTGTAAGTATTTCTTTTGCTTACATAGCCTAGGCTATACTGTATAAGATTAATTTTTATTAGAGGAAAATGATTATGCTGCTCCAGAGTAATTAAATAATTCTCCAGGTGTTTTGAAATTTTTGTATCATCCTCATATTCCTTAACTGCTTTACATGGCATAGGTTTACATTAAACTTGCATAGTTATAAAATGTAAAATCTAAGTAAAAGTATAAATTGTAGCATTTCTTCTTGATATTTAAAGCATACATTGGAGAGCTAAAGTACCCAAATACCTCTGGGCTATTTTCTTATTGGCAAGCCCACTTCTACTGCCTTTTGGCATGACTCTACTCAAAAAAAGCATTAGCATTGAAAAATAGGTATTTATGCAATATATATGCAAAGGGATTTCAAAGTAATTTTCACTGCATCAGAAGGATTTTAAACAGTTCCCTCCCCCTCTTTTACAATTAATCGATTGCACTGTCTATCAGCTCTTGAAACATGGTAGCAACAGGAATATACACTATGCCTTTCAGTATAGACTCACACATGCAGTGAAGATACAACAGGAATCTGTTCTTTTTTAAATTAGTTCTGGTGAATTTTTATTGTATGCCTACTAGGGCAATACCAGACATTAGCTTCCTTAATAGGTTATATGATACGCTGTGCATCTTGAATTCCACAGGAAAAGTGGATGATAAAGTCCCTTTTATTCTCCCTGTCCTCTTTCAAAAGGCCTACAAAACCACAGTATGTTCTGCTATTAAAGATGGTTTTTAATTTATTCCTGTTGATAGCCAACCTTTACTATGGATTATAGAAAATGTTGGCTTATATTAACTGTATGTTAAAACTTTGGCCCAAGAAAGTTCATTTATTTAGACCAATGCACTGAATGATACCAAGGCATTGTTCATTTTACATTTAGAACATTAAGAATGTCACTTTCATTTTCTTTAGTTTTATATTCATACTCTTTAATCTTTAGTCTTTTAATGCTCGTTTCACAGTTTGAGTTTGAGTTTTGAGTTTGTTAATGAACCAGAGGTGATTTAAGTAGATTCCATGGATTGTGTTTCATGGAAGTGTGGTTGCAAACTAGTTCTAGGATATTATATCACCTTGACAGACATGTGTTTCAATTCTGCTTTACAGTAGCCCTTGTGCAGCCTAATAGACAATACTGTAGCATTACAAATAGTGTTGTTTTCATTAGTTTATGGCTTTATTGACTTTGTTCTTCACAGCACCCAAAACAGATGCTGTAAATACAGTCATGCTTTCTCAAAATCATTGAATTCTGCTCTTAGTGGAATCTCACACTTACAGTATTGAAGGTGTCCACTTATTTGTGTTATTGCTAGTACTGTAGGTGGTTTTATCTACTTCTGAGAACTCCTTGTTCCCTTTCCTGCTAAAAGTCTGGTTTATCTTTGAAGACTGAATTCCATTGTGAAAATCTCTCCCCTACAAAAGTAACATTTTTATTTATTTTCTTTTCTAAACATAACTTTTTACAAAGACTTGTGCCATAATCTTTGCTAGTTTGGGTCTTGTCTTCCTTGACTTTATCCTCAACTTTATTATCTATCTTGGCATTATTGTCTGGGTATCGCCTTTCACTTAATTTTTCATCTTTCTTGGCAATCAGTTCCCAGTTTCTGTCCATGTTGACATCCTCCTTTGTGATTTCCAAGGTGAGGTTCCTTATTTTACTTCTTAACCCTTGTCAGAGTGGACTGGAGTGCATTTGATTCAGATTCAGAGTGATATTAATGGAGAAACTACACTTTCCACCTTGAAAGAAAAGTCTATGGCTGGCATGTGCTGCCTAAACTAGCACATGGAGCCAAAGCTCAGATCCTTAATATAAAGAAAAAACTCCAGACAAGCCAAAGAACAGTCAGTTATGAAGAATGGAATGATCCATGCTTAGCAGTAATGTAAACAGTCTGAAACTAATGGTAATTATAATAATTTTGTACATTTCTGTGGGGATTACCAACCTAAAACACTTTACGTACAGTATATAGTACGTACAGTATATAGTATACTTCATCCCCCGCTGTCGTGCAACCTCCTCTTCATACAGATATACAGATGAACTTTAGGGAGTCAATTTTTTAAAGCCAAGAGTGGGAGTCAGATATGACAACAGAGTTAACACCCCAGCACTTTCAACCAGTGCCTTTTCCAAGTAGGCAAGACCTCATTTTAACATCCCACCTGCAGCAGGGCACATCTTACAGGACAGTCTCCCCAGTCATCATACTGGGGCACAGGTTTGGAAATTCTGGTCCAGAGAGAAGAGCGCCACCTACTGGTCAACTAACACCACTTGCAGATAAAATCTGGTTTTCCTCAGAAGTCTCCCATTCCATTACTGGCAAGACCTGGCCTTGCTTAGCTTTAGAGAGCAGATCTTAGATGGGCTAGAGTTCAAAGAGGAGTATTCAATATCACTGTATTAGTACAGTGCCTTAAATAGCCGTGTGCTAGACTGGCGTATAATAAGAATATATCATTGAAATGAGAAAATTCAGAACTGCATCACAAATCATAAGTATCAACCAAAAAGAAGATCTTCTATTAGATCACAGGATAGAATATTTAGGTATGTAGGAGTAAAATGTAAGTGAAAAATCAGTAAAATTATCCATTATTCAGTGGTGTCAGGAATATGCTGGGTGAAGAAGAGATCGTTATAATGGGAGACTTTTCAGTTTCTCCCACAATGAGTAGCAGAAGGTGTCAGTGCCTGCTTTCAAATCCAATTTACAGGATCGAGAAAGTGGCAAAAGAACGATTATGGGGCTGTTATCATAGCATTGCATCTTTTGAGGTGTGTTTAATAACCACATTTTTACAGTCCACAACTATGGTGTACACTGTCAGGAAATCAGACTATGGAGAAGTGAGAGTTTCAGAAAAGTAGAACAGTGGGACAGTGGAGATAGAAATGGTGGAGAATAGACAACATAATTCAAAAAATATTTTTTGCGCAACAAGGCAAATGTATCCCAGACATAAATACAGAAAACGTATTGAAACTGGTGGCTCTGTGGCTCAGGATCTGGCCCTGTGGCTGGAAGGTTGCTGGTTCGTATCCCGTGGCCAGCAGAGGAATCCTACTACGTTGGGCCCCTGAGCAAGGCCCTTAACCCCAGCTGCTCCAGGGGTGCTGTATAAATGGCTGACCCTGCGCTCTGACCCCAAGCTTCACTCCCTGTCTGTGTGTCTTATAGAGAGCAAGTTGGGGTACCCAAAAGATAAATTGTATATGGCTAATAAAATTTTCTTATCTTATCTAAATATATCAAAGGATTGATTGTAAAACATGCCAGTAAAAGCACTTTGTAGGTGTAACAAAAAAACTGCAAAAGTGCAATGCACCGTAAGTCAAATAAATCTATTCCAAAGGCTGTTAGAGAGATTGAAAAGAGTAATGGTATGAAAGCAACCTGACACAAAACCGTTTTTTCCCTGCTGCAGCAAAGGAACAATAAAAAATGAGGAAAGGTGTCTAAAAATAAGTGCACTACTCTTAGAGGATGAAAGGTGCTTTCCATCTGTTCTCAAAGCCATGAGAGGCTATATTCATGGGCTGTTAAGCACAAAGTTTCAACACTCAACCAGAGACAGGAGTTGGAAAATTGTCCATGTGTTCTTATGCAGAAAAGCGGGACAATAGTGACCCAAGTAAGTAGACAGATATGACTTACTTACTGACATTTCTTACAAGGGTGTGGACATATTAATTCAATTTTAAAATCATCTGGAAGTCAAAACGGTTCTGGGATCGTCTGCTTATGGGAAACTTCCTTTTCCAGTTCCGATTCTTCGCACAAGTTTGCATCCTAAACCGCTACCTGCAGTGCCTCAGACCTCTGACCATCAGTGCCTTCCAGGGAGAGTCTGCATGGTTTCCCCATGCCCGGGTCGGGTTTCTGCTTGTGTTCTGGTTTCCTCCCATGTCCGAAGACGTGCCCTCCAGGCTAATTGGTGTCTTTAATTTGCCTGCCCCCCATATGCATGTTCATAATGACCCACTTTCTCTCTGACACCTGTGTGTTCTTACAGAGTGGAATCCGCACCGAAGACGTCTGACGTCAGCAATGAAGCACCACAGGGGTCTACAAACACAGCCAGCAGTGCCCCTGAACCAGAAGATCTCTTCGATGACATCTAGCCTGGACGTCTTCTACCACAAGATTAACTTTCCAAAGAGTTCTGTTTTTCTTTCATGTGCAAAATGATAGAAAATTATCCCAAAATTGCAACGTCTAATGTCTTCCTATTTAGACTGCAGTATAATAAGTGCTGATACTTCATTTGGGAATAATAGTACAGTGACTAAAAATGAAAACAAAATCCTCATGACATTCTAATATAAAACTATAGACGAGACGTGTTCCTCCAGGACAAGGAAAGCTAGTGTTCAGGGGTAGGTAGAGAACATTTACTAAAATGGTATCATGCTTATTTAGTTCTGATTACTTTGAGCATTATTCACAACAATTTAGTTTTAAGCCAGGAAATTGTTAACACTCAATTATTCTAATTTTTACTTTTGTTTAAAACAACACAAATGGTAGGGCTAATGTCAGTGAAGTTTGTCGGCAAAATAAACTAGCTTTAGATAATGATTTGTAATTACAGACTAACTGTTTTAATTACAGGCTGTGTTAAGATAAAACGTTTACAAAACTGGATTGTGCCGAATTTGTCAAAAGGAAAAGATATTTTCTTTTGTTTCAAAAGAATATTAAATTCCACCATTCAAGCTGAGGCTTTTGACTTTGTACAGAATTACTGAAAGGTTTGATTAAATCGTTTGATTTCTCCTTCTTGTATTAGAACTTCAGCAATAATTCTTAAAGTCTAAAGAATATTCAGCAAAAATGAGATTTTTCACAGCTGATTGTGGGAAATGAAAGCACTTGAGTGTCACACTGTACCTTGATTCCAGTTTTTGAAACTTTGTGCACAGAAAGCAGTACAGGACTGTTGTGGCTCTGCAGGGAATCCTGCTTTTACTGTGTACTTTTTAGAACAAAATGCAGCAAGATAAGAAACAATAACACCTACAGTAAGAGTATTTTATATATGCCAAAAAGTGAATGGAGTGTCTGAAAATATATTGAACTGTACCTTTATATTGTTTTCATGCTGGAAAATAAATTTTGATAAAGATGTAAATAAACCCAGAAGAAAGATTTTTTAATTGTGCGCGTGGTGCTTAACATGATGCTGGTGTGACTTCGGTAATGCGCATTTCATAATTCCAGTGTAACTTGTAAAAGAATATAGTCGTGGTAAGTAACAATAGGCACTGTGACGAAGAAGAGAAGGAAAAGCTCAATTGGAATTCTTTTTAAATTGTTGGAAGCTTTGCTCAAGTAACATTTAAGACTTCCTGAGATAATCTCACCAGGATTATTACACTGCTTGGAAGTGCTCCACCCTCCAAAGAGACATGTGGTGTAGCTTTGTTAATGACAATTTACACAACTGTTAGGAACAAGAACATAATATCATAATCAGGTCTGTACGACGCCAAGAATAATTCAAACTTGAGGACTTTCATTAGCATGTGCCACACACACACCCACATTCTTGCACAAACTTGAGTCTTGCAAAATATCCTGTCCTGTTTTGAGAACCATGCTCTAGTTCCTAGGTTTAAAAATAAAATCAGTTTTTTTTTAGCCGTAGCGAAATTCTGACCTGTTTTAAAATACTCATTTCAGTTTAACATATTCAATAGTAGACAGTTTGAAGTTTATAGACTAATAAATAACGAAGATTTTTATTGTGAGGGGAAATAATGAAGGCCACTGCCGATGGTATCTTCTTAATTTTTAATCCACTGATTACTGATTACTGACACAGTGATAAAACAAATGACCATTGATGATGATCCTTCTGAATACCTTACACAATGGGACCTGCTTTCAAGATTAAGAATGTTGGGTTCTTTTTTATTGTAGATCAAATTGCTTACTCTGACTGTATTAATGGTGGTGGCTGAGGCATGGAGTTAAGTCTCAGTGATGTTAATGCATATTAGTGTTTGACATTTAGTCCATTTTGTGTTCTTTGCTGCCATTGTCCTGATGTTCTTTGCCAACTCAGAGAGTTCACATGTCCTTTACAATATTATAATAAAGGCTTATTGCCTTTAAAAATTAATTCAGCACATAGTGTAGGGAATAAATTATTCCTTTATTACTTTCCAGAAAATTCTGCAGGAATGCTTCTAGATCACAGTTCACTACACTGGCAGCGAATGGTAAATCTGATTTAATACCTGAAGGAAGGCTTGGCTCTTAGTGGAAAAATAGAAACCCAAGCTAGATAAACAGTAAGTGTCCAGCTAATATACAGTATGAGTTTCATGGAAAGTATTGCCTATGTACCATATGGCTCCGGTGTGTTTTTTCATAGTTGGGTGTTTCTAGGTGTAGGTTAAGTCAATTTATATCAGTAACTGAATGGACTCTCAGGGTGACAGTTCTTTGAGGTGCCTGTCAGTTCCCTGTTGCAAATACAATAAGCCAAGACTCTACTACAGGCAGGGCTAATATAGTACTCAGACTGTGTTAACTGATCACCAAGACACGGACTCGCAATCTCTTTTGATCTCTTTAATCCGATAGACTTGTCAGCCACCATTCACAGCCTGGAAGGGTAATAAAAGTGGAATTAAAAATCCCTGTGTTCACATAAATCACCTTATCGCGTTGTCTACAAAGAGGAGGTATACTCGGATATATCTCCTGCTTTAGTTTAGCATACAGGATTTTGAAGGCATCAGATTCCACACTTTATTCATGGCAAATAGCTAAAACCATAATTGTTAAGTCTAATTTGTATGCTTCATAGTTGCTTTCACTGTTGTCACTTGAGGCATGTATACAAATGTGTTTGGGAATATCTTACATGTTCTTACAACATGTTCAGCAAACCTGCAAGATGAAGCACACATACTAATGTGACTATTTTTTGTTTTGTTATGGGTGGTGCGATGTCTCTGTAGCTAAGGATCTGTGCCTGTGCCTAGAAGGTTGCCGGTTTGTATCCCGTGCAGAGGAATTCTAATCTGTTGGGCCCCTGATACAAGAAATTGGATGTGGCCAATACAGTTATCATGTTATATCATTATAATATGTTCTTATTATATCAGTAATACACTGATTTTCTAGGTTGAGAACTGATGCAGTGGTTAACTGTAATGAAGCACAATTTCTTTCGTCATACTTATACAAGATTTTGTGTGAATGTCTTAACAGATTGGAGCTCAGTAATTGGAACCAACAAGAAAGCAAACAAGGTGCTAAGCATCCTAAGATAATATCTCTAGTAAACCCTGTGTTAGTTTCAGATTCCTACCTGGTTTAATATAAGATTTCACTGAAATAAAATGGAATTACCAGGCTTCTGAATGGTTCCTCAATGTTGACAGGTCATTCCCATTTTTAGTGTTTCATTTGCTTTATGCCAAATGAAAAAAAAAAACGTTTAAATCTCTTTTGTCCATTTTCATTCCAAATAAGTTAAGATTGCTGCTCTACTGTAATTACCTGGCTTCCCACCTTAACACACACAAAGTCTGGAAGGATCTGTTAAATGTTTTAAAGCGCCCACCCGTGTCGCAGAAAACAATATTAATGGGAGACGCTGGCGCAACAATAGGAACAAATCAAGCAGTTTCATTTTAATTATCCTAAGCGATGCATTCAAGTTCTTTACCTGCCATGCATGTAACTAACTTTTATAAAAGTTAACATCCTTTCAAAAGGTCAGGGATGGTTAAATAATAAGAAACTCATAGTGAAAAGGGGAAGAAAGCAAAAAGCTACAGCATCCAGGGTAGGTGACAAATGAGCTGTGAGGTAAAACCATGTGAATGTCACATGACACTTCTTCAGCGTGTCTCTCAGTAAGGTGCGCACCTAATAAAGATAACCTGGTTAATACAAAGGTCATTGGACACTCGTTTGAGACCCAGGGTTCCTGCAAGGAGTCAGTTACAGAACTCTAGACAGTTTAAAACTCCGAAACTGCAGAATCCAGAGGAATCATTTTTTTTGACAGAGTCGAGTCGCCTGCTGTCTTGACCGAGACACAGTCCGCGCTCGGAGACGGCGAGCGCCCACGATCAAATCCTGCTGCCATATCCCATTCACTATCCCCTGGAAATCTGCACCCACCCCCACCCCCCCACACTTCCATAACGCGCCCACGCGATTCACACCTTCCCGGGATACTTACAGGCAGCTCCTGCGTGCGTGCCTGTGCATCTGCTTATGACGATACGGACCGAAAGGTTTATGCTATGTCGGTTTCTCTGTGTATTTAAAGTGCTTGCCAGGGATGAGAGAGCAATGCTAAAAAAATCACTGCCACCACGAGATTGACATCGTCCAGTACGTTTTCCTTACACAAGACAACCCGAAAGAAAACTCACAAAGGCGACGTACAGCACACCTTTTCTGCATGCCATGTGTATTACATACTGTATAGCTTATTACCATCATTGTATATGTGATGAACAAGGAAAAACCACGCGTCCCTGAGGTAACGGCGTGCGCGCATTTTGAAGGGGGGTATTTCCAGAGGGCACTGGATTGGATCTGACACTGGCAGAAGCCTGGACGGCAGTATATGTGCCACTAACACCACCGAGACCCCGAGCTGGTATCATCGCACCCCGGGGAATTTCTACGGAAGAGGCGGGCATTTTCTGAAACGGGCAAAGGGGGAGTCTGTATTGCCATCAGGTGTGGACTCAAATCGCAATCAGGGGCTGCGACTTCGTTCTTCCCTTCAGCCAAGGAAACACTCCAACTCAAGGGTGAAGAGGCCAGGCAGAGAAAATCGTCTCAAGTCACAGCGGTGCTGCAGTAAATCCTTCCATTACTGCATGACGTCTGATGAGCTGTCAGGAAAACAAGGAAGAAAGTACTAATAATATGACAATAACTACTGAAGACACACAGTCTTTAATACCTGAAGAAGGCTCCACGGCCGAAACGTTGTGTTCTCTTTCTTCTTTTTTTCAGCATGGAATAAACCTATTACTTGTTCCTTTGCAGTCTTTAATAGCCTCTCAGGGCATTATAACAGGCACACGAAGGCTATTTAAAAATAAAAATGCACTTATGAATTTCTTATGTATGAAGACATTTAGGCACTAGATATGATTTTTTTTCTTGTCAGACTGATAAGATAATGATTTGAAATGAACGTGTTTAATATTAGGAACTTCATAAACTGCCCGAGTTTTTAATTCCACCATAGGATTCTTAAATCCAGATTCAGTGTACAATTACCGGCACAAGTAAGGTTACTATTGTTATTCATAGTTGTAGTTGTACCAGTAACATAATGTTAGAGATGGTACACATTCCTACTATAATATGAAGACCTTATCTTGGATAGAATATTAAATGTATAAGCCTGCAACAAAGAAAATATCCATGTTATAATAACTGGTCTCTAACCATTACCGAGATTCTGCTTCGGCGTGCACAGTCCGTTTCATCAAACACATCCCAGATAATATTATTTCCCAAAGTATCGAACATGTATTGTTTTTATTAATAGCCCTCGCATTTATTTTTAATTTATAATTAGGTATTTTGGTACTTTTCGACGGTCATAGGGTTCTACAGTAGAACTACAAAGATCAATTCATATCAACCATTCCCCCCAAACTTCACATTCATTTTTACTGCAAAACAGTCTAGTTTCGTCGCCATCATTTTCATCTTCCTAGAGAGGAAATTGTGTTTTATTCTCCACATGATCTGGGGGAGGATTTTTCATTGATTGGTAAGCGGACAGCTTCATGCGCGATCTCTGTCTTGTCACAGCAATACAGGAAAACCCATTGCTTTCCGGACGTCTTTCACAATATGAAAAGAAGACAAGACAGCACATTTGTTCAGATCAAACCACTGGTTTATTTGCCTCTCTAGCTTTTTGTTCTGCCTGGCTGGTACTGAAATATTGATACAGTACGTACCTTTGTTTAATCAATCGTAGACTACTAAGTGATGCGCCATTAGGTGCGGTATCTAAGGTACTAAACAGGCTTCAGTATGACCGGAATTGGTCGTCTTAAACTATATGGTACATAACTCCCACACTCTGTAACTCGCACTGGCTGTCTGTGAAATTCAGAGCTGCTTCTGCTCATGGTATTATTTAGAATATATTTTTTGCTTTCCAAGGGCGTTTTTTTGTTTAGTATATAATCTTGGTTGCACTCGGTCTAAAGTTGTTGACTTCTTTTTCACTTCTTAACGTGATTTATTTGTTCGAGTTTGCACGGCGCCTTGAGCTCTTCCTAAGCGGCCCATAAATGAAGCTGTAGTATTGTTGTTTTTAAACAATGAAACCATAGTGTACAGTATATAGACCTTATTATCTAGATTTTTTAATGGCGCAAATTGGTCGTGCAGTATAAAGCTATTTTTATATAACTGTTATATTTTGAGATTAAACTAATGTTTCATCTATGTATAACACTCATATACTTGACTATACATCGACTTTGTGAATGTTAATTGCCTAGTGGGGAATTTTGGGGGTACTGCATGATTAAAATAGTCAAAACGCTGTAAGATGTAGTCTGCTAACTTGGCCATTTCATCCCTGGTAGCCTATATAATGAGGATATGTTGTAGCCCTCGCGTCCATGTTGGGATGGTTTAAGATCGTTTCAGGAGCGAGGCACAGAAATCACCCTCCTAAAGAACGCATCTCTCGCCCAGCTGCTGAATTCACTGATCCTGCTGCCGCTACCGCGCTTCTCACTAACTGCAGTCCAGTCTCTCCCCCGTGTGGACTCTACCGAAACAGACAATTTTCCATCGGGCGCTGTGTCAAGATGCTGCGGGAATACAGAAGCACACAAATCCCGAGACTCAGAAATACACACTTTTAAAGGGTTTTAATTTATTCTCTACAAGAAGCGAAGCCACAGTCTTGGCGATGATAACACCTGGGCACTGTAAAGCTAATCCTGACCTGAAATTAATTTTACCACGAGCTTGTCCTCATTAAAAAACCCCCAGAAATAACCTGAGATTTGGTGTGATAATTCGTCCACGTGGCTTGGGAGGTGTTTTATGCGGGGAACTTCATTGTTCTAACATCTTGCAGAGTCTGACAGAAGAAACGGGTTGTGCCTTAAGAACAAGCGTGCAGGTACATCCGCACCCTTATTTCTTAATACCCAAGCTGTGAACAAGACGGGTTTTCGAAATTAAACGGACTAGAAAACGAGACGCTCCGCACACTGCTGTGGCGTTTAGACCATCTCACATTAAATCCGCATCTTTACACTTACAGTACAAGTAGTGTGTTTAGACAACGAGTCTGAAGTCTCGGTGTATTGAACACAATTAGGCTCCGTGCGTGGGGGGCATGCTTTTCTAATTCCCCTGCCCGCTTTCTCTCGGTCCGTCACTCTGCACAAGACGGATGAGCCGCTCTGGGTGAGGTCCACACCTACAGTAGGTGCACTGAAGAACGCGCATTGTTCGCCGCTCTCAAAGATACAGCGGAGGGGCTGGTTGTAACTGCAGCCCCTTTCTTCTTCTCTTTGTGTCCCGAGGAAAATCGAGGTTTTGTGCTCGGAGACAACAGAGATATTCGTGAATACGGATTTCTTTTTACATATTGATATACTGTAGTACTTAGGGATCAGTTTCTGGGCAGAGTACTTTTTAATTCTAAGTGAATTACAGAATATCTCAATTAAAATAGCGTTTTTAACAAGTATTTATAAAGACCGGTGACTGTTTCAATTGTGTAAAAGTCCCCAACACAATGCAAAAAAGCTAAACCTCTTTACATTTCGAGATTGGTACCATCGATGAGGTGTAATTATTGGTCATTTTTTTGGGGGTATCCGCTCATTTTTAAGTTGGGGAGGGTGAGCTCCTCCTCTCTCAATGACGAAATAGTGGGAGTAAAAAGTAGAATTTGAACTTGCGGCCGCCTGGCTCCGTGGTTCTTTCACCCCGGATCAGAACAGGCTACAAACTGGAATCGGACCCTTCGCCGCGGGGCTGTCGAAGGAGATAACAGGAGCAGGCACTGCGAGAAAGCGTCTTCAATCACCTGGAAGGGAGAACCGTCCTGGGGCTTCTTCATGCAGCTTCACACTGGACCACACTGGAATTAAGGATATAATTTGAAAATTGATTTGATTTCTGGAGTTACAAGACTATTGAGGTATTATTATTATTATTATTATTATTATTATTATTATTATTGTTGTTGTTGTTGTTGTTGGGATGTACATAGCAAAGGTGTGGAATTTCAAGTAAAAAATATATATTTAGAAGAATGATCGACAAAAATAATTTTACAAAATTACCTAAATGAACTGGTTTGAAAAGTGTCGTCCATGGTCCCGTTATAAAAACGCCGCAACGATGTATCTGATACTTTTCAAGCATTTTAAGGTGAATCGCTGTGAACAGTTATTCCTAGAAAGCATCCCAACCTACCGCACTTACCTCAGCTGCCCGTGAAATCGCTGGATGAAACCGGAGGAACAGGCTATTCTGTAAGGAGAGGGATGCGAGAGAAAGCGAAAGTTTCAGTTCCAGTGTTCATGATGATTTCGTCACCTAATCGTTGGAGCAACACCCCTCCCGTTTCTGTGAAGGGATAAATCCGATCTTTTAGTCGGGGGTCAAGGCAAAAATTGTGTCTTAGTCCACTATTGTATTTAAGGCAAGTCAAGCCACCTACTCGAAAGGATATTCACTGAAGGTTTACCCTGTTGATTTTTTTATGTTATTTTGTTTGGTAATTTCATTTTTGAAATTCTATATCTTTCCTGGTGTTAACGGCGTTACAGAGAACTAATCTCTTGATCTTCTCTCGTTGAAGACAAATCTCAGCGTGGAAGAACACCAGTCAGTGTCACAGCTGCTCCTCATAACCTCCCAAGCCGGTCAGTATTTAGCCAAGAGCGGCTAATGTTAAAACCTGAAACCAATTATACAGCTGTGGAGCAATGCTTGTATGGTGATTCTATATTATTCATCATTGGGCGTGACTCTTAAGATCGAAAAAAAAGGAACAATTATTTCACGCTCAAAACTGATTCCAGACCAGATGTTAGAATCGTGTTGTACGCATCAGAACTGTCATTTTTTTACCACTGAATCGAAGCATATTTTTAAAACGAAAAATATTCATGCACATCATCCTAAAATACTCTCGGCGTGGCGCTGAAATGTGCATTAAAAGGTCAATAGGAAAAAAAGTAAACTGTATTTGAAAAACTACATGCTCTAAGATTTTGTCAAACAAAATGTATAAGAGCAAGCAAAAACAGATCAGTGAAAACTTTGATCAGGTGCGTGAAGGATTACACACAGTTTAAAAAACCTCGAAGACAATACTCAAAGGATACTGTAACCACCACCACCCCCTCCTTATTAAAGATGAGACACAACTTTGACAAATTGTATAAGGGAGAGCAATTTATCCACGGGGTTGTGTGTTGGACTATAATGTAGTACTGCCGAGGAATTCGAAAGCTGTTCTGTACTGAGTCAACCGTAGATTTGACCCTCTAGCGGTGACATCAGGTAAAGTTTCGAATAGGAATTAATCATTTTCAAATATTTAGAAATATGAAATGAACTTTTGAAACATATTTATTGATCATGTTCAAGATGATTAGTTCCCCATTCTTTGTTTTCCTTCAAAATCTACTGCATTTTCCTCGCTTTTCGGATTCTGATACAAAGATTTACGTAAAAATAACGTGTGAACTGTGGAGCACTTGCTGTATTTCATAGTGTTCAGGCTACGCTGTGATTAAATCAAATCAAGCTCTGTATTCATTCTAGGTTCACGGATTTTCGACATTAACTGAAATCAACTGGACTTTTCAGTGGGATCCGGGAGAAGGATAAGAAAAACATTACGAAGACAGGCGTGGAAATTAGCTTGACATTAAGATCCGCGCCCTGCTAAATTCTGAAGTCTTCACATTGGGTCGGATTTCAGGTCAGTGATTACAGATCGGTCGGGGTCTGACGTCGCAGAAAAACTGTCAGCTTGTTGAGAGGCGTTTCCTCCTCGTTGGTTTGACCTTTTGTTGAACAGAACTGCCATATGAATTTCCTTGATTTAGGTTTAACGATATAAAACACGTCTTCTGTAACCGGTATCTGGCTAAACTCTACTCTCCCTTTTTAAGTCGGAGGCTCCACCAATCCACACTGTATTAAAAGAACAGGATATATTTCCATGAACTACCCTTCTGTAGAGTTCTGTAGTCTCCAAATAAAGTTTATTTAAGCACCAAGATATCGTCAAGATTAAAAACGACCATAAGTTTAACTAACTGACGTGAATTATGTACAAACAGATTAGTTTTGATGACAGGACAGGTAACATGTCAGGATGGACTAACCCAACAATTCGTGCTGCACTCACGTTGAGGTGCTGTATATTATCTATCGCCAGCGATAAGACGAGCATGCTGCGCGACTTTTAACAGAAGACATCTGCAAGACAGGGAAGAAACGTGGATTTAGTCTCAGGGTCAATCGCAGTGTGTATGCCAGTTGAGGTTTTAGGTTGAGCGTGAGAACATGATTAATGGCTGGCAATAATGTGCATGTGTCAGAATAATGTAACATGCTTATAGAAACCATAGACGTATTTCGCTGTTCGCATTCCTTGCTTTTAAACTCAATCCTTACGTGCAGAAAAAATAAGAACCACATGAAGCTAATCGCTCCATATCACTGCCTGCGAATCAAAAGTGTGAGAACTCTTTTGAAAAAAAATCTGAATAAAGCACTTATCCCGGGACACGTAGATAGTACGGAATTGTAAAAGCCACAAAACTGTAAAAACGAATAAAAAAATACAAATTATGCCTTTTTGTATTTAAAGAAACCCATGGTAATTGTTTAGGTGAGTTGAGCAGCTCGGAGCAGTTAAGACTTCCTAATTGTTTCTAAGTCATTCTTCTGCCATCTGGTATACACATTTGTAGGTGTTGGAGAATTATAATTAATACATGAAATGAGACGAATGAAAACTACTGCTGACAGTTGTAACACACCTTCATGGTTTATCATGGAAAAGCAAAGAGAAATCTGATCTAGGCAAAGATTGTTGGGAAGAAATGTGATTGATGGGAAGGAGCCTTTTTCATCAGAACTCCCACAGATTTATTGCAAAAAAGGGAGGATTGATACTGAAGCAAAACTGAATGATTTGAGGGTCTCCTTGTCACTAACCACAGCACATGTGAAGCCTGGAGGGGGTGTGCATTGTCCCTGCACCCCACAAATCTTTGCACTGACCTCCTGGTGGTACATCAATTGTTTTTTTTTATTTCACCACCCACTTAGAGGAAATACTTGGGCTGACAAATTGCTCAAGACCACCAGATGATGACCAAGTAAAGCTCCACTGCCAGATAAGGAAATGACAGGGACATTAAAAAAAACTAATGAAATCTGTTATTCTTATTGGTTAATGACATGGTGTAACCAAGGCTTTTTATGTACAGTCATAAGTAAAGCACTTTGCTGAAAACTCAGCTCTATCTGGGAAATGTTAATACTGTGTTACATATTGTTCTGTATTGTACTGCTTTGGAGAACAACTGCAATTTATTTATTCATACAGTCGGTCCTTGTATTACACAGTACCTTATTGTGCATGAGAATGTCCATTTTAAACACTGGTTACCCACAGATTAACAGTTTTTTTATATCTTTTCAGATCAAAGATGCTATTAAATATAAAACATATTTTATGGTTATGCTGCATGCTTCCTTTGTCTGCTGCAGCACTTCAAGGTAAGAATCTTCTCCCATATTCAGAGTCTTGTCAGTGTTTGCTTACCTAACGTACAGTACCTAAGTTTTAAATGCACGTGCTGGCAGTGGTGGGTGAAGTTAAGGCATCAGGCACTTTTCAAATCTGTGCTATTGTGCTCATTCACACTTAAATTGCATTTGTGCCCATGATCAGCTGTGATTATCCTATATCCTATATACAAGCTTCTTAAACATCTGTGGACATTGTAAGGCTGTGGGTGAAGGCAGGCAGGGCCTGTGATAAAACAAAGCTCTCTAGTACAGCTAGCAATATCTTCATCCTATTGCCTATTGCCTGAAAGGACTGAATTGTCTTGCTAGGAAGAATCCTCTAAAAGCGCACTCTTGAAGCAGTACCCGAGGACAAGCACATCATATAATCTGGGCTTTCTATATTAGGCTCTTATACCAAATGGCCAATATACTAATCGTCATTATTAATGCCCCTCAGGTGCAACTAAATAATGATTTTTATAACATATAAAATGATACACAGAGGTTACGTGTGAATACTCGTTTATTATGCCATGTGCAGTAGAATGCATATGGAACACCATTATAAAGGATTTTACCTAAGGAAGATATGAGTAAATATTCCAAAAGAAGAGTAGAAATTACTGCTGTAATTGAAGTTCCTGTTGAAGTTCCTGTTGCGCCAAAAGTTTTATTTTGCATCCCATCTAACAGTATTTCTGGTTCTTTTTTCTTCCCAGAGAGCACAGTGATCATGAAGATGGAGAAAAGCCCCCCAGTCAGTGGGTCTCTATCTGGCAAAGTAGTGCTTCCCTGTCATTTTTCAACAATGCCCACTTCGTCACCCAGCCAAAAAACAGGCACTGACTACCTGAGAATCAAATGGACCAAAATCGAGCGTGGGAGCGAGTTAACTGTACTTGTGGCACAAAACGGGGTAATTAAAATTGGTCATGGATACAAGAACAGGGTGTCGGTGCCCAGCCACCCTGAAGACGTTGGTGATGCCTCGTTGACGGTTGTTAAGCTCCGGGCAAGTGATGCTGGCCTCTACCGCTGTGAAGTGATGTATGGAATTGAAGACACGCAGGACACTGTCACACTCGATGTTAATGGTGAGTTTGTCTTTCGGTAGGCTTGTCTTGTCTTGGGGGGCGTATGACCTGTAATTGGGTTCTGGGAGCATACAGTAGATCGGATTACTTATCCATGTTGTTGAAGCCAATGTCCTCACTTTTCAAGAAATAGCAGCATGTAATCCCTTTGATCAATTAGCGGCTAACTATGAAACAGGCTGTATGGGCCAAATGGCCTCCTCTCGTTTGTAGTCTTTTTATGCGATTAGGTTTCACACAGTTAACACTATTTTACTAGCCCTTTTGTGCTCTTTCCATGCTTATGAGACCTTCTCACATTCCAGAAGAAATTCAATTAAAAATTGATCTATTGATATCCACAGAAAAGGCCTTTAGCATACACAGTATTTCCTTATAATTTGTATAACGCAAGAAACTGTATCTGAACACCTACCCATTTCTGAAAAATGCTCCCAGGGAGATAAAATCTAAAGTTCAGAGCTAAAAAGGCTTGTATTGTTTCCCTGGCCGTTTTCTTCCATCTTAATTAGGGTAATTTTCTTTTGATAAACATGGAGCTGACCTTTGTGCTCTAAAGTCACGGCCTTGAATTTTTAGCTGTGCCCAGAATCTGGAGGATAAGATTTGTTTTTTTTAACTTGAGATTTTGGGACAGATACATATGCCTCTTTTTCACTTGTGTTCCAAAAAGTGTTTTGACTGGATCAGTTTATAAACTCAATAAACCATGAGAAAAGTCCCATGAAGCCAATATAAAAATTGCTGGTCCCTCCCCTTATCTCTTCATTACTATTCTTTGCATTCACACAGTACTTCCTAAGGACCACAAAGCGCTGTACATATAGCAGGGACTCTCTTCATTCACCAGCATGCATGTGGTTGATGCATGGATGCCATTATGCAGCTAGAGTACACAGTAGGTGTGGGGGTGAGAGAGCTTTCTTCACCATCTGAATTAAGGGAGAAGTATAGAAAGACTATATGTACAAATTCAGAGTGGAATTTAGCCAGGGCACAGAGGTTAAGACTTTTACCTCATATGAAATGCTGGATAATATAATTCAGCACAAGAAATTAACTGAAAATACAGGCTACATATCATTCTTTGATAGTGTTCCTTATGAGATTTATTTTACGTGAGGATAAGGCACCTGACACAAAGCCATTCTTGATTTTAGACAGATATTATTGGTCTCTCATGGTAATGACCAAGAAGTAAGAAGTTAATGTGTCACCTGAAGAACAGCAAAGTGTCCCCAGTCATCAGACTGAGGCATTGGCCAGGAAATTATGGGCTATAATGGGCTATAATGGTCTACCAGTTCCCCCCCCAGTAGCAATCTGGTTTTCCTTTGATCTCCCATCCCAGTACTGACCAGACCCATCCTTGGTTATCTTCTGAGTTCTGACTGGATCAGGCTGCAAAGTGGAAAACTTGTAATGCAATCATAATTGTAATAGATTTTTTCATTAATTTGATTTTGAATTTGAAGTTCGATCTGAGACTTAGTATCTGTGAGGAAAGGTGTGAATAATATAAGCAGAAGAATTTAGAGACAATCACCTGTACTATCAGTTAGCGGAAGAAATTAATTGAAAATAACACAGGTCACATATGCTTCTCCCGTTAGGCTGTTAACCTAACATTTGTTTTCAAAACTGTGTTTTATTATAAGATGTATTTTACATGGGGATGACACACTTTACACAAAGCTGTCTTTGTTTTTAGACAGAATTTATTGGTCTCTCATGGTTTGACTGCTAAAATAATGTTTCCCATGTTGAGTTAAATGCTCAGCTCCAGATTTTTCTGCTGCTAACTTACAAACTCCAGCAGACTACACAGAGGGCTAGAGAAGGCATGCAGGACATGATGAGATATTAGTTCTGGGAATGAAAACAGAAGGGAAAACGTCAGCCTGCTAAAGCGATTATATTAATCCTATCAGGAAAATCATTTGAAGAGTAATCTGAAATTAGAGTAATCGATCTATCATCTTTTAATGTTTTCAAGATGTTACCTGTGAGAATGAATATGTGTGTTAACAAATTTGTGTTTCTGGAAGAGGAATACTCAAAGGTATTGAAGTCTGTAAAGGGTAAGGATGATATCATGGAATATTGAAGGAACATTTTTTTTAATGTCAAGCTATTACAAAACTTCTGGCTCTGAAGAAGTGAAACTGACAAGGCTGAAAGTATAACGCCCTGGTGATCTTAAGGCAATAGCTCAAGAGCCGTAGCTAAAAGCTGAAACAAATGGTGTGGTTAAAAAATCTGCCCCTTGGTCACCTTGTGAGTTAACTTACCTAAGAAATGTGTGCTGAAACATTGAAAACAACATTATAGACTGGCTGTAATAATATTCTGTCTTCTCTTGGGCATTGCAACGAGACCCAGGGGGCTCCAGAGTGGCTCAGTGAGTAAATGTGGTCACTCGGAGTGCACATTGAGTCTTATTGTCCAAACATTGTTGGTTTAATTCTCGTTTAGCCAGTACCTCCAATGCTGGATAGGCTTGAGTCAACTGAGGTGTTGTGGGTTTGGCTATGCTTGTAAACACTGAGACTAGCTGGGTGCTTGTGAGTTTGCAGTGGTATTAGTGATAGTCTTCCAATTGATGCTAATTTTCTTGTAATATACTATGCCGATTGCAGTGTGTTAATTGGACGGGAATCTGACAAGCTCTGAAGGACTCCCTGTGAAAGGGTCATAGTCATAATGAAATTGATTAATCTGATTTCAGAAGGCATTACGTTCCCCCCAAATTTTGGGAATTACAACTGGAAACAAAGACTTACTGTACCTACATTTCGGCCACAAAAAAATCTCTTGATCCGCAGGCATGAGTATCTCTGTTGGTTATGTCCAAGGATTTGGACATAAGAGCATAAGAACATAAAAAGGTTACTATCAAGAAGAAGCCATATGCCCTATCTAGCCAGCAGTGCAATGGCAGTACAGTATTACATTTTCTCCATAGGAGAATAAAAGTGCAAGCTTATCTTTACAGTAGCAGTCCACATGCATATGATTACTGTATATAAGATCTTTCCTTATTTTTCTATTTAAACTTCTGAAATGTTTTTTGGTAACCTTGAGATGCATACTCAGCAGTATTTTATCATAGCCCAGGTCAATGACATAAACTTAAAAAAAAATCCTTTTATTAATAACCTGATCTTCATTCAAATAGCACCTCCACGTTTTGTCCAATAAGTAACTCTGAAAGTTTAATTATAAAGTTAGCAGAATAATTTGCATGTGGTGTCTGCATCATTAATATATCAAACTGGCTAGTCTAGGATGAAGATCTTGTCCTGGCAGCTGCTTAAAGTTACAAAAGTCTGCAGAACCCCAAATGATGATGGGATGGCAGTTTCCTAAGCCATGCACTTACAAAGGAAGCAGTCCATGGGGAATTCTTGTCATTCCTAATGAAGATGAAAGACCAACAGGGACGTGTCAGTATAGCCCTGGACATGTCAATACATCTCATATCTATGAGCTGATATAAAGCATGGCTTGTGATGAATTATGACTGTCAAACTTAATATCAAGTGTCTGTCGGCAGACACACCAGCAGTTTAACACAGCACCTTCTGCTCAGATAATAAGTTCAAATGCTGTCCCTTCACCCGTCTCTTGCACATTCCAAGCAGCAGGAATTGTTAAAGACTTAACAAATCCCTTTATGACTTAAGTAACAACTGAGTTACAAATTGGTTTCTCATTCCTTTGCATGCAAAAGCTTTATTTCACACTACCCCCATACAAATAAGGAAATACATAAGACGAAAATCTACACTTGCTGTTGCATTTTGGTGCAATTATAGAGGTGTTGCCTTCCAGGCAAACCTGTCTGAGAGCTACTCCCTACTGGAAAGGTGCATTGGTAACTTTATGTCCCAGTATTATAAACAGCGTGGTCTTTCTTTGCCAGCCTGTATTCTCAGACACTGCAGCTCATAACATCTTGAATATGTATCTTCTATTATCTGGTAGTAGCCCTTGTGGTATAAAAAGCACAGAAGCTTGTAAAGCAGGCCATGAATGTAAAACATGCACTTTATCTGTAAAACGCATTGTAATCCATGCACTGTATAATTATTCCGTCCTTTTCATCATGCTGGGAAATTCATTCCAATCAACATTTTCTAACAGTCTTCATTTAAATTATTTTTTTTAACAGGTCACAATTGTACAGGCAGGAAAAATAAGAGATAGAGGGAGTTTAGCTGTAACATTTATTGACATGGAGCATATTCATTCAAATTAATCTGAAATAGTTATTTAAGGGATAGTTACAGGCTGAGCTGGTTCATTGGAAGTCTTTTATGTGTGTCCTTTTTAAATAGTGAATTGCCTAGAATATATTAATGATAATGAACATTTTCTTTTTTAATTTTACAGTTAATTCTTTCTGTTGTGTGTCTGTACAGGTGTTGTGTTTCATTACCGGGCCTCCAGCAGCAGGTACACCCTCACCTTCGAGCAGGCCAAGCAGACCTGTAAGGATGTTGGGGCCACCATAGCCTCTGTGGAACAGCTGAATGCGGCCTACGAAGATGGCTTTGACCAGTGTGATGCTGGCTGGATGGAAGACCAGACTGTCAGGTACAGTAGATTCACAGAAGGCCCATTTACCAAAATATCTGGGAAATATCTGTTTGTTTATTGTCTGTGCGTGCTGTCACTATTTATATTTCCTGTTTTGTAGTGGTTGTAATGACCGTGTACGTTGTGTGTTGTTATTTGTTGTACTGTGTTGTCTGTTGTCCTGAGAGAAGGGTGTGAACAAGAATCCCATTGTGCATGTGGCAAATAAACTCCTCTATCCTCTGTCTGTCTATATACTGTACAAACCATCCTAAATGGCCTAAAGTATTACCCATTATTCTTCACCAGCTCCATCAGTTTTCATGTTGTTTTCAGTTCAGAACTGTTTGGTTTTTATATAAGTGTAACAAGAAGTGTTTACAATTTCATCTGGGCAGGTACCCAATTACTAAACCCAGGGCGGGTTGCTATGGAGATAAAATGGGAAAGCCTGGTGTCAGAACATATGGAGTCCGCCACCCCACGGAGACATATGATGTGTATTGCTATGTAGACAAATTGGAAGGTAAGAAGATGATCTCCCGCAGGCTCGAAGTGGAGCAGCTGTGTCAAACCCAGGGTGCTAATTTTAAATGCAACACATGGCACTGTGAGGTGTGACCATTTACCGCAAGTCTTTGTGTCAGGGAAGCCTCTTTCCAGATGAGAGCTGAGAGGTTTTCTGACACAAAAGAGCTCACTGCCAACAGGCAGCCAAACTATTAATTTCTCTCTATTAGCAAGTCATTATTCTATAAAGCAAAAAATCTTTGAAAATGTGAGGGATGATTTGATTAAAACATTACATGCCTGTGGTAACATAAGGAAATCGTCATGAGAAAACAGCCATTTATTATTTCGTTTTTTCCATGATGTTGACTTTGCAGACTTTGTTAGCCCAGGTCAACATGCGGCTTTTAGAATTGGAACACAATAATAACAGGCCTAATAAAAACCAGCTATTTAGGCCGCTTAAGGTCATTCCAAGTGCCACAGCTGAGCCTTTGGTGCACATCCAAAGTATACAGTAGGTGATACAGGAAATAAAGAACTTGGCAGATTTATCACATTTCGGAGAAAAGAATAAAACCTGGTGCTATAGAGAAAGTCACATATTTATATAAATAAAAATGCTATTCTAAAGTTTACTTTCAAGCTTGTGCTGTCCACATTAAGAATAATAATAATAATAATAATTGCTTACACTTATATAGCGCTTTTCTGGACACTCCACTCAAAGCGCTTTACAGGTAATGGGGACTCCCCTCCACCACCACCAATGTGCAGGATCCACCTGGATTAGACTATAAACACATTTAATTGTATTATACTAATTGCCAGAGAAACAGGCCACTTATGTTTCAGTGTTGTGTATATATAATATTTAATACGTCTATTGTATTTTTCCCATTCACTACAACTTAAAACAATTTAAATTCTTACCAAAAGCTTTCATGTTTAATATATTCACTTCAGCGGATCTAATTTATTGCCTATAGATGATTTATTAAAGGAGCGTTAATAAATAATTTTCTCAGCTTCTTTAATTGTTCACATTAGGGTTTGGATAAATGCTCACATGCCATTAAAAAATGAATAATAAGAAATACTGTCTTTATTATAATTGATTACAACATGGCAAATATGTGTAAATCCAGTACAACATGGATTTATGTACTGTTTATTAAGCGCTGTAAAGCGCTTTGAGTGGAGTGTCCAGAAAAGCACTATATAAGTGTAAGCAATTATTATTAATTATAACATTGGCTTATGCAGTGCTGAAACCTTCACTTTCCAAAGTTTACTAATAAAATAATCCCCTTATTGTACATGAGTCGCGAGGCTTGATGTAACCTCAGGCTGCAAATTGTTTTTTACATTTGGTGCAGTTAAGAATGTAATAAAGGTTGTACATGCAGTAGGCAACCATGCAATACATATACTGTAGCAACTCACTTAGTTGTTTGTTGATCAGCCAAACATTTTATAAAAGTCTAATGAAAATTTTCTACAGTCATGCAGTAGAAGCATGACTGGATGCTTGCTCCAGACTGCCACATCTCTTAATCCTCAGACATGCATGGATGTGGACTTGAAAGTACTTAGTCTTAGCTTACATTTGTGTCTGTGTATCACTCTTATTCTACAAGAAGAGCAGTGGGGTTTTTTTTTCAGTAGTTTTCAAATTTCACTTGTATCATATATCCTTGTAATTTTCTCTGTTCAGGATAAAAGAGGTTCCAATCCTGTAACCTATTTGTCTATAACATTTCTTACTGCAATATAAGTTACCAGGAGAGACTACAAACCTTTGTGGCTGACAATAGACCACACAGATCACTCAGACTGTGAAATGCTCAGGTTGACCTCTTTTACAAACTAACCCCTTATAAATCATTCTAAAACAGGTTTATTGGTGTAACGTTACCCATGCTATACTTTCTAACATTAGGCTTGCTCTTTTACAAACACAAGACTTTGGAATAAGCAGTATTACATCAAAACACATTTTTTTGTTGTTGTTTTGCTTTAATTTGCACTTAGAATACTTATTGTAATTATTTTATTTACATGAAAAATTACATCCTTTGTATAGTCTCTGAACAGAAGACCAAATCAAGTGTGTCCCAGTCAGATTTACAGTATATGCTATCCATAGAAGGACAATTTCTGAGATCTGAAGAAGAGTAAATTAGAAATTGTTTAACCTTTATTTGAATGTTTACAATACTGTGAACAGTTAGTAAATTGTAGGCATTTATTTAGCAGCCCATCTCTAGCCTGCAGAATAAATACTATCACAATTTCTTTTGAATTCCCCCCAAAAGCCTCACAAGTGATTAACAATAGGTTCTCTTCATTATGAAAAAAAAAACAATTTATTGCATCTTGTGTGTTTCTGTTTATATTACTTCTAAGGTAGTTCTTCAGCCTCTCTTGCTAGCAAAAAATTGAAAGCTTAAGAATACGTTTACTGATAGAGTTTGGTACTTAATATTTCCTGTATGCATTCAGATAGTAATGAGAAAATGTTTTAGAAGCCAGTCTAAGCCTAGTTTGGAGATTTCTGGAGGGTTGGTGTAAATACAAATTTTCACTCCATTTCATTTCTTATCAAGGTAAATCAGCTGGTTTCCAGCTTAATTGGACCTATTTAACAGCTTCTCCTACTGTAGCTCTTTGGGTGTTACTGCTTTAAAAAAGAACTTGTAGACACACCACCCTCAACATATCAGGATCTGACAGGCTTGGTCTAAGCAAAGAAAAGCTAAGTTAAATCATGCAGGCATGGAAGTATCATGAAAATGCACCATATTTATACTCCTCTTTTACTTTTTATAACAGACAGAGAATTGATAAATGTTTAGCTTGGCTGTACTGCTGCTATTTAAACACAATCGTTGGGTTATTGTATTTAATGGGTCTATTATGAAATGGGTTTTTATCTGACAATAAATATTTAAATATTGCAAACTCTTATTCTTGATGTTACACCCAAATCTTCTTGAAGAAAAGTCTTTAGGCCATTAGTTTTGCCCTTTAGTTTTCTGTCAAGAGTTAATCGGTTGTTTAAATTAAAATCTTTTTGGATCAAACACTGCCCATTTGTTTTTTAAAACATTAATGGTGTTATAAATGGCTTTGTAATTGTGTCATTAGGCAAATATAATAAACATTACAAATTCAAATTACAAATAAAGAACTTAGTTTGAAACTTAGCTGCAGTAAGAATTTACCTCCCACAATGCACAGACAAAACGTTTTCTGTGATGTACAGTATTGTTGTTTTCTGTTAGCTAGCTCATAAAAAAGATGCTTAAGGAGCAGAAAAATGCCTGCGATGAATGTCCCTTTCACATACACACTTAAGTATTCTATTGTCGTGACTGTTTATTGTTTAATGTTAAGTGTTTTACGAAAAGCTGCAAATCTATCTAAAACAATCTGTTGATGATGGTATGCAATACCACATTGTGCAATTTGATTATTATTTTCTTTATAAGAATATTTAGTCAGGGTTTTAAATCTTTAACAGCATACATTTTCTAGAAAGCACATGGACATGATAAACCAAATTTTGATCAAGCAGTGTCTGTTACATGCTCTTGGGCCCTCACATTTCTGAGAACCTCATACAGCTCAAGAACAATCACTCAAAGTCCACTTCAGAAACACCTTATTTTTAAAAAGGCTTAGGAACAGACAAGTGTTTCTGAAGATAATGACGGTGGAATTAATGGCTGTTAAAAGGGGAATCAGACCTGGCTTGAATGCGTGACTCCTGATAAAAAAATAACAGTTTGTGTATGGTTTAAATTTCCTGAAAGTGAAGAAAAGCTGAGTGTGTGACGCTGGGAATTTGCTTTCTCTTCAGGCGAAGTGTTCTTTACTCCGGCCCTTTCCAAGGTGACCCTCAAGGAAGCCGAGGAAGAGTGTGCGACAAAGGGCGCTGTCCTGGCCTCCACTGGACACCTTCACTCAGCCTGGAGAAATGGTCTCGACAGGTGTGACTATGGCTGGCTCTCTGACGGCAGCGTTCGATACCCTATCGCCGTAGCCCGGACCCAGTGTGGGGGGGGGCTTCTGGGCGTCCGGACATTGTACCGCTACAGGAACCAAACCGGCTTTCCTAGCCCCACAGAAAAGTTTGGCGCCTACTGCTTCAAAGGTAATTTTTCACATAGTTCTTGTTCAATAGCAAGTGTTTTAATGGTTAATGTTTCACCTATTAATGAATTGATTTGTTCACAAAGAACAATTTAAAGTTACACAGTGTGGGTAAAACGAGTTTACTGGATGTTAATCAAGGAGTGGCCCACTTAGGAGCCATACACGCTGTCCGTTTTGGAGAATCGCACCTGCTTTGTGTGAATATAATGGGCCAGTGGATGTAAGAAGTAGACCAGCATTGTGGAAGGATCTGTAGGTTATGAAAAGATTTGACAGCTAGCCAGAGTGTCAAAGTATGCTTTTCTAATTCTTAAAAGATGAAATGAACTGCTTTGTGTCCTGCTGAGCTTGAGATGAGTCTTATCTACAGAGAGATGTGCTAGTGCAGCAATCTGACTCCCAGCAGGAGACTTGAGCCTTAGATTCAGTTTCCTAGTAGCCCTTTGAAAAAACAGCTTGTTGATGTCAGCTGGTGTGTCTCACAGCATCTGTGAATCGTGAGTAAAAATGTGAACAGATCCTCTAGGATTGAGATCTTCAGAAGCTTCAAGAGGCTTGAATCCTGCTGTTGCTTTTTAATCATCATGTAAATTACCCAGTGATGGGCTCCTAGTGGCATTTTTCATCTGTTCATCTGGAGACTGAGGAATCTGAAGTACTCGATTGTACTGTATATACTACACTAAGGAATCTGCATTTGCAAACACTGAGGAGAAAGAAGGAAAATACTACAGTATTCAGTCACAAATGTGGAAAAATTAAAATAAAAATTAAAAAATAAATACCCTGACAATATGTAGTTTTAGGGTTATGGTTAGGATGCTCTGTCAGGTATAAAAAATAAATGTTAAATAAATAAATTGTTTGTGCTGTATGGTCATAGCCAGAAATGTGAGATGGAACAAATGTTGTGACACCATTTATAAAAAAGGCCGACAGAACCTTAAAATATAATTATTTTTACACTTTTCTTTAAATCATTTTATTGGAAGTTATCTTGATGTGCTGTCTCACTTGTTGGTTTGCCAAGATCAGTATTGTGAATTGTAATAGGTTGGGAAAAATGTGTTGAATTAAGTAACACAATCCTTGGTGCAAATCAAGTGAGCTAACAATTCTCTGCTAACAAAAGGTTTTTAAGAAGGCCAAGAGCGTTATGGAGTTTGTGTATCACCCTCTCCATTGTGAATTTACACTTCTTCCCTCTGAAAGACACCTCTGTGTTCCCAGGTGTAAAAGTAACAGACAGGGGAAATCTTTCATCACCCCCTGCCATATCTCTCTCAAACACTGGAAAGTAATTCTCTTATTTCCTGTAACAACAAGATATGGTCTTTGTTAGCAATGTTCATCTGTCCTTATTGTTGTATATGACTGTGCCATAAAACACATTTTCCCTTGGGTGATAGTAAAGATTGAATTAAAATTAAATACATTATTTAGGGATCAATTATATTGATTATGAACCTTTCTGAAGAGTTTAAGAACTCTGACACCCTGACCTGTATGTCGACCCATAGAAAAAAACCTCACGAAACCGTCAAAGTATGAATCAATAGAATAGTGCACGTGGTACTGACATTTGTCTGCTAACTAGATCTTGTAGAATCCCTTCTTAAATGTATGAAAATACATTTAAGAAAAAGCAGGACTCACCATTTTAGCTTGGCCGCGTCTGGCTGTGGTTCAGCTGTTCCGACTTCAGGTTGTGAGTGATGTCACCTCTCCTGGTTTCTTCTTATCCACTGTAGGAGCCCAGATCATTCATCCCCTGAGTTTACTGCTCATGTTCTTATGCATCCCAGGCAGGAATCAAACAACCCATACAGTACATGAAAGAAAGGACTCAGTAATTTACCCCCTGTAGTAGTTTTGCTGCCGCTAAGCATTATATCTTAAGGTTCATATTAGTATTTTGACAAATCTACTTGCCCTAAGCGTTCTGGCCTGTGTTACTTTTAGTGTATACAGTATACATTCCCTGGTGGTCCTCTGATCGCTTGGTTTCTTGTTGGGTTTGGGCCAGTTTCCTTAGAATCCAATGTAGCCTTAGCTGACAGGAAAGTTAAATCATATTTTAAGCTTGGTTTTTATTATTTAAGTCAACAGTTAATGGGTAACAGTATGTGAATGCACTGCAGGAAATCTTTTAAACCTTTTTTTACCATTTAAATTATTTTTAAAAATGTCATTTTAACCTGTATTCAACAGATTTGAATGAACATCTGAAATTCTTCTTCCCTTAATCTTTTTCTGTTGCCTAGTTTATCTCCACAACAGATGCAGCACTTAAAAATGTAGTATCATTGTATAATTTAAGAAGTTCTTTTCCCCTGCTTGTCCTCCTATTTGATTTTTTACCCTTTATGTCTCTTTATATTAAATCCATACCTTCAAAGAAAATGAAAAGCAAGCCAAAAGATGCTTTCATTTTCATTTTGGTACATGGGTTTGTATGAGATGATTAAACACTGGGAAAGTCCAAACATTCAATCATGGATGTCAATTTAGAGTTCTACATTTCTGGGAGCACTTTAGTGTTACGAAGGAGTGAAATAAATATGTCATCATAAAAAATATGTGATTGTATTGACATATTTTTTTAACAAACATTGATTATGTAGTAAACATTTAAAAGTATTGAAAACCTCATTGACTGGTTAATTTATATTTGTGCTGTTTCCCCCTCTCTCTTTATTTTTAATCAAACTAATTTCTTCTTGTGTTTATTTTACCCCTTACTTATGCGGGGGTGGGGTTCTCAGCTTTTCTTCTAAAAGATACCTGTGTATTCTGATTTTTTCTCTAGCCGAGCTATAAACTTGACACCTTAAGTGAAGTTACAGTCCGCTTAACCTGACCTTTCTAACTGTTTCCACCAAGCAAATTAAGCTGTCAGGTAAAGGAGAGCTCCTATGGAAAGCAAAACAGAAGACACAGAGCTTATTCAGAACCAGAGAGGAAAACCTCTAGTCTGGAGATATTGAGGTGATGACAGTTCGCAAGTTGTGGAATGAAGATACCCTTTATCATTTTTTTAAACTGATTGTTGTTTACATCCAAAATTATGGAACAACTACTGTACCACAACAATAAATCATGCAACATGAGTGGAAGTTATATCCATGCTGTACATACAGTACAATAAATATTTCACAGAACAGAAACTTGGATATAGGGACACATCAGGGAAGTGTCATGTATTTTAGTAATTGTAGTAATTGTAGTGTCATGTAATCTACAAAAAAAAAAGGTTTTTCAGAATCCTGAGTAAGCCACATTTCAGTAGGGACATTCTGTGAAGGCCCAAATAAAGCTATGGATTTCTCAGGTAACTGTAAATGTGTATATTAATAAATACACTAGTATTTATTAATATATTTTGTAATATATTTTATAAATATTGTCCGTATTTCAAGATTGAGATTAATTTGAAGGTGTTTAGGAAGTGTATGTTTCGTAGTATTTCCATTATTTAACCAGGTAGGTTAGCTACAGTTTGCACAGTAAGTTGCAGTTTACACAGTAAATGATTTACACATTCAATTAACACAGTTAGGCATTTACTAGAGCAGGCTGAATACTTACCCTGCTGACAAGGCCAACAACAGCATCCCATCTGGTCTTTGAACCTCTGATACCCCAGTCTGGAATCCAGATTCTTAACCACTACTCCTGGTTTCTAATCTTGGTATTTAAGATGTCTTGAATGGTAGAGTGGACTTTCGTCTTGAAGTCTTCTGTTTTATCATGTTGCCAAAAATGTGCCTGTGGAGAGTGTAAACTAAGCATCTGTAAATTATTAAATAAACTCTTTCAATTCAGTAACAGTGAGGGACTAAGTGAAGACTTTTGAATATATGTAGAAGATACAATCCATATTCTCTCTTGGACTGCGGAATGTGACCTTGGGAACAACTACTTTTGGTTCGGTTCTCAGTCTTGGACTGAGATTCATTTTAAAATGGACCTTAACCCCACTGCCTGCACAATCCAGGCCAGGGACACAACTTCACTTACCCTACTGCTGGATAAGGTCACCTCAGTTTTGTTCAGTCCCAGTTAATTCACAATTCCCCTTATCCAATCATACATTTTGAAGTTAATTCAATCAGCTGTTACCCATTATTGAAGCACTAATGTTCTTCATAGTACGTTACTTGTACCTAGAATTAGATATTTGATATTTATATCTAAACTCTCTGTTCATTCCTCTCTCTGGCTTTATCCTCTTTTGTCTTTGTAAACATTTTCAATTAACCTTTTTTATATTACCCTTAATCATCCACGCCAAGGAGCAGTGAATAAATATAGCACAGTGTCAGTAAGGAGGAAAAAAAAAGATTCAACTCGGATCTGAAAGACAAATCTGCAGCAAACTAATGCAAAGTCCATCCACAACACGCAAACACTGGCAAGATAAATGGCTTTTTTTCCAGCTAATAGATCCTTGCACTTTTATTAGGAAAATGTGCCTCATGGCTTACATCACTGATAGCCGCTGAGAACAAGAATAAGACATGTGTAACATGCCTCTAATGTGTAACAGCTGGCTACAGCACCAGACAGCCCATTAAGTCAGAGAGGAAAGTTTCTCAAATGACTTTACTCTTACAGGGTAGGGCAGGGAGAAAGTTTTTTAACCTAATGTTATTCCCTGTATCCAAGTATTGATTATAGGGCCTGTAAAGCTAAAGCTTATTTTTCACAGGGGGTCTCTGCAAACGACGACATTCAGTATTTAGATATATGCAATCTCAATCTGAATAATAATGGTATTTAATGTCTGATATGTCTCGTTATGCTGAAGGTGTTCACCTAAACAGTGGTTTCTGTTTGTACTGTATTGCACCTATGCGACATGTTAAATTACAATTCAAGTCACATTTGTTCCTGTTGCCCAAAATGAATACAGAGTGCTTCATCATTGTCATCAAGAGAACTGAGAACATTGGGGTGTACACTTTCAAGCAATGAACCCAAAGTGTCTTCACGGCT